GTCCAGCGCTTTGCCTCGCTCGTCGGCGAGAATGAGCTGCAAAAGGGAAGTTAAATATTAGTTGGCAAGGTTAATTTCAACTACTGGGGGAAGTACGGCATTAGGGCTTGTATTTAGCATGACATGAAAGAGAAATGCGAGTAAAATGCGAAAATGGAGAAAGCTACTAAGTAGGGGGGTCAGTAGTTCGTCCTACCCTTGTTCTCGCTACGCCAGTTTCGGTAGGGGGGAAAAAGATCAAAAACCACTGTAGCTAGTGTACCACGTAAGACAAAAAGTAGGCTCAATCGTTCGAACAATAATTTTATCCGCCCGGCGTTCTGGATCCACGCACGAAATCATCAATCGAAGCAGAGACAAACAATCGTCGTCAGCAACCCCAAGTCTGGGTAATCTCGTACTCGAAACTGAGGTCCTTCGTCACCGACCGATCCGAAGGTGTTTATAAGCCGATGCTTATGCTTTCGGCAGACCCAAACAGAAGCACCACCGAGCGTATCACACACTGTGCCATACATCGGGCGCGTTTCAGGAGTGACTGAGCGCATCGCTGTGGGGTCAGGTGTTGGAAGTGCGCACAGACCCAAAGCTACCATGCGCAGAAGGGTGATAAAAATCAAATAACAGCTAAATCGCAAAGAGCAATCTGGGGTTGTGCAGCGCAGCGCATCTCATGCCCTAACCGTCCCTGTAATTACAAAGGTCAACCTGAACATATGCACGGATCGCGCATGCGTGGAGATAAGCTGGCTGTGGGACGGGGCCACTAAGTGTCGCAAGTTGTTGCTCACGCCTACGAAACAGGCCATGAGTTCAACTTCGCGGCCGTCAAGATAATCTCCCACGCCGGGATCAAGATGAGACGGGAACTCAATCAATCCATGTATGGATTAGGCGCCGACGTATAGAGCCCTGCACAGTCACCTCTAGGTATGCGTTACTGCGCATCTGCGAAACAAATCAAGGCAGAGGGACTTGCGACGGCGGGGAAGGGCACGGATAAATTTCACCTGATTTTCGGGCAGAGTCCGGGTGTAGAGCCCCAGCAGATGGCCGCATAGCGACTAGCAAGTTACAAGCTCAGTGGATAGGCGAACCAGTACTCTTGTTTGGGGGTTTCAACAGAGCAATTTTGTCGTAAACGATTTGTTGTGAAATTTTTCGATCAAATACTTTCGATTTTATTACCCCTTTTTTCTGTGACCCTGAGAACGGTTGGATTTCGTTAATTAGCTGCAGTTGATCATCGTTATTACCGGTTAGTTGTACTTTTGCAGATATACTTTGAAAATGACCTATTTTCACGGTAAAAAAACCATTAAATTATTTGCATCCTCTTCATTTGTGCCGCTCATACAGTTTTTTTAAAAACAGAAGAACATTACCGACGAAGACCAGAAGAGACGACAGTAGCAACTTCTGGCCGTCATGAGTCAGACATACCCAACCCCAGGTATTGCAAAATCTGAGGTTAGAATCCGCCATTTGTTGATCAAAAGTCCAGAACTCTCTCACTCATCAAAACTGACAAGACAACGAGGCCGTGGCTCAACCTCTGGGACTGAGTATGGCTGATTAATGACGGTAAATAAGCCAGAAACTGTCATACTAGTCTCATTTGTCTTTGTTGGTAATGTCCTTTTACCTATAATGAACAACCGACAAGTACTACTGATAGAGACAAGGAAACGGAAACAGTCTTCTCCGGTTTATTTGTCCTGATCAGTCTAGCATTTCCAAATCTCCGGTGCTGGCAAACCAGAAGGTCGAATCCGCGCCCGGTGGTCCATTAAGTAATAAAATCAAATGCCCTCAGAGAGCTAGGTGTGTGTGGACTCCCTGCCAACCTCTACAGCGTTCAAATCACATCAAAAAAAACAGTGAGAGGAGAAATATAAGAAGGAGAAGAAGTTGACCCAGGTACCTCTTTGAAGTTATCAAAGGAGGAGGATAATTCGACGGTAGTACCGGTCTCCTTGAGAATTTCTTTAATGAGCTTCTTCTCAATGGGAAAACGCGCCTTGAGACTTTCCACGTAGAACTTGAAGAGGTCGAGGGGAGTTGAGCCACGTTGTGCAAGCATCGCATGAAACCGTTCATCGCTTGGTGGTTAGAGAAAAAAGTGCGCGGTTGTGTGAAAGAAGCAAGCGTGAAGATAATACTAACAAACAGTCAATAGTGGCTATAAATAGAGAACGCGACGAATATTCTTTACTACTTGTAAGAAAAAAAACAAAATGGTAGACGAAAATTTAAAAAAAACGAAACAAGAGCTAAGCAGAGTTTTGAGTGACTCAATTAAAATTTAAAAAAACATTAATACCATTCTGAGGTACTAGCGAAGAAACCGTTTTGTCCGACCCCATGGGGTTCTCGATACACGCCTATTCGAAGTGCTGTACATTATTTCCAGGTTACGCGCTCGTTAAAAAGCGAAAGTAGTACGACTGATTCGGGGCATGTGATCAAAGGATAAGAGCCAACGACTGTGGTACTGGCGACGAGATAAAAGAATTCTGCTACTGATGGCTTCTGCTAGGGTTATAATCTACCGCCAACTCTGTTCAACTAAATGACGGACTGTATTCCTCACCCAGCACTGGCCGACCACTGCAATATGTCGTGGTTTGTGAAGTGTGTACATGAAATACGCTGATGTCGTTACGTTTGTGACTAACTCCTTTACCGAAATGAGATGTAGTCTGTCCCCGATAAACCCGTCGGTAGGTGAACTGGACTTGAAAATAATATCTATGGACAAAGTATGGCTGCTAAGGGTTGTGCTATCTGTCGCAGTGGGCAGTGAAGCGCCTGTGCTAATTGAAAACTAATTTTAGCTACGAGCGGGTGTTTTGACTAACAGGCAAAATAAGGATGAAATCAACTAAGAGCGCGACCGTCGCCTAACCTCGCTAAAACGAAAGGAAGCAGCGTAAGAGCCTGACTGCGAGGAGACGAGGCTTCTGTCAAAGAAGCCT